AAAAGCTGCAGACATTTATAGTTTTGGTATTATTATGACCGAGATGTCTACGGGAAGACCTCCTCATTATGATGTTGAGTATGATGAAACGTTAGCTATAAAAATATGTGATGGATTACGTCCAGAATTTGCTAAAGACACACCTGAGTGCTATACTCAATTAGCAAATCAATGTATGGATGCCAATCCTCTTAATAGACCAACTGCATCTGTTATCCATAATAAATTATCAGGATGGTATAATATAGTAAATAATAATGCTGCAGAGAATAATAATGAATTAGTAATATTAAAAGCATTCCAGTCTGCAGATGCAATTATCCCAACATTATCAACTGAATTGCCAATTTGCCCTAAAGATAAACTTACAAGTAAACTGCTTAACTTTAAAAACCTTTCTAAGCCAATTAATTCTTCATTTATTTCACCGCCAAAATTGTTAAAGAATTGTGGTAAATAATTCACTCTTATTATCATATGTATTTCAATTTTAATCGGTAAAAGTTTACTTTTAATTTTTTTAGATTCTACCTGTCTCGATTTTTCAATTTCTGATGGTGAGAAAAACTTTATATTTAGACTTCATGCGTTTCCTGTTTTGTAACTTGAATAATTTATAGTTTACAACTAAAATTACATTTGTTAATTTAATCAGATGATTTAGAAATTATTCCAAGTAATAAACAACAAAATGATGAATATATAATTTCAAACGAAGCAATTTTAAATAAAAATGAATATTCTAGGGAAAAACAACAAAATTTCTTAAAGGGTCCACCGATTAACTTAGTTGAAACAGGTACTGCCATAGACAATGTCCAATTCTTTAAACCTATCGTTAGGAGTAACCCTATCGTTAGGAGGAGCATTGATCTCACTGCTGTTCCGGGGCGAGTTTGAAGTTATAGAAAAAATGGTGGCACTGACAGACGCAGACGTGGATAATAATAGTGCACAAAACAAATTACTTAACCGTAATGGTGTCACAAAGAGGTCTAAGAACAATGGGTCAACTGGTTCGTCTCATTCAGAAAATGAGAAGGAATCTGATGGGAATGAAGGCGAGAATAACTGTAATGAAAACGATGAAAACGGTAGCGGAGATGGTGGAGAAGAAAATAATGAGAATAATAGCAATGGTGGTAAAGAAAATCATGAGAATAATATCAATTATGATGGTGGTAATGGTGGTGATGGTGGTAATGGTGATGGTGGTGGTGATGGTGGTGGGAATGGAAGCATAACTGATAACTCTGAAAATATTATAGTTACATCAACATGCCGAGCTGTTACATTAAATAAGGAAAACGCAGAGATTTTTCAAGAGTTTGTCATCGTAGTTTCTATCTGTGCAAATGTTACCCCCGTTGCCAATAAAAAATATTCGAAAGTTTTAAAATTTTCTGTTGATATAAAAGAATGTACAATGGGGTCTATGCTTAGTGAAAATTCATCGCTTCA